CCAATGACAAAGAACAAAACAAAACACAACAAGAAAGAAAAGCTTGTAGTTAGTTCAAGGACTGCTTGTTGGCCTTTAGGAGTGTTTTCCAGTCCATTCTGTTGGGGCACCACGCCCTGGTCCCAAAGTCCACCTTCAGCATTCTCAGGGGGGATTTTAACTGGACGGCCTCTGCCTCCCTCTGCCAGCTCCTGGGCTACAGTGAGAAGCCCCTGACCCTACAGATGTTTATCGGTACCGCCGATGAAAGGAACCTGCGGCCTCATGCCTTCTACCAGGTGCACCGAATCACGGGCAAGATGGTCGCCACGGCCAGCTATGAAGCCGTGGTCAGTGGCACCAAGGTGTTGGAGATGACCCTGCTCCCCGAGAACAATATGGCGGCCAAGTAAGTTGCTGTTCAACTTGCCTTCAGTCTGCAAGCTGTAGGGTCAGCTTCCCCCGTGGGACCCGAGCAAGGTGGGGCCCACTTCCTCTCGGCAGGAGTATGATGTATCTTTCTGAGAGCCCAGTTCCGGGCCTTCTTACCTTTGAGGAGAGGATTTTGGAGACTGAGGGTCACTCTGGACAGGTCATCTCCGGGTTGGACAACAGCTCTCAGAGCAGCTCCCTCGGACAACCATCAGGGCTTTGGGGAGAGGGTGGGGCTTCGGCATCTTTGGGCTCTGTCACCATTCTGGTGTCAGCGAGGAGGGCTTGCCATCCCTTTGTGTTTGGTTTTTCGCCTTCAGCATTGACTGTGCTGGAATCCTGAAGCTTCGGAATTCAGACATTGAGCTGCGAAAGGGCGAGACGGACATTGGGCGCAAGAACACTCGCGTGCGGCTGGTGTTCCGTGTGCACGTGCCCCAGGGCAGCGGGAAGGTCGTCTCCGTGCAGGCAGCATCGGTGCCCATTGAGTGCTGTGAGCAAAGAGGCCCGGTGCCACCTCTGTCTCTTGTGCCTCTGGCCTGTCTGTCTGCCCGTCTGCTCTGCACTGTGTCTTGTACCGTCTGTCCTGCATAGACCCTGTAGAGAACTCAACTCTCATTTCCACTGTGGGGAAAGGTGGTTCTACCGTGGTCCCAGAGCAGACCCTGTATCCCGCCTGTCTCTGGAGGGGCCCTGGGTCCTTGTCTGAGTAATCCCCTGGCTGACCCCGCCCAGCTTTCTCTTATGCACGAGTGGCCCGCGATGTGGGCTGTTTGAAATCAAGGACACTGTGGGCATCCCTGTTTGGCTGCTTTTGGGAAGAGCTTTCCCAGAAGCCCCTGGAGGTCCCTGGGGCTCTGTGGCAGTTGTTCCAAAGATGAAGGACAGAGGGGTTTGGGTGGGCCAAGGATCTTTATCCTTACCACTCTGCCCAGCCAGTCCTTACCCCTACATGCCTCTTCTGCAGCCCAGCGATCAGCACAGGAGTTACCTCAGGTGGAGGCCTACAGCCCCAGTGCCTGTTCTATGAGAGGAGGCGGGGAACTAGTGCTGACTGGCTCCAACTTCCTGCCAGACTCCAAGGTGGTGTTCATTGAGAGGGGTCCTGGTGAGTGCTCCCTGCGGAGGGGAGGGCAGGAGAGTCCGGAAGAGCTTGGAATCAGTGAGTGGGAGGTCCCTAGCGCAGACTCAGTTTGACTAGCTGAGTCTGCCTAGCTAATTGGGTCTGCGTGTCCTTCTCTGGGAGATGGGCCTGACAGACTGCCCTGTGCTAGGACACTGTCTGCTTGCCCTGGGGATGTGTATGACAGCCAGCCCAAGCAGGCCAGAAAGTTGATCTACTGAGCCCATGTAAGAAGCACCCATTCTATTTATTATAGGGCAGTGAGATTTGAAATCCAGGGCAGGGTGCATTCACACCCTTTTAGCCTTCCCCTGAGGGATGGGCTCACTGGGCTGCAGGGGTGGGGGAGGGGGAGACAGATGCCATCTCCATCTTCTCCCCAACACTGCCATGGGAGTCAGATGGGAGGGGTTGAAAGGTGTTTCTTCCCTCTGGCCCTGGGCTGGCCCGACCACTGTCCTTGGTTTGCTGCTCTGTGGCCCCTTCCATGACTTGTGCGGAATCACCGTCTGGGGACCCTGTCAAACCCTATCTCTTCCATGTGGTTGAGGGAATGTGCAGTGGGCCCCTGGAGGTGGGGCAGGTCTTCTAGGGGGCCTTCTGAGTGGGCCGGAGGTGGCAGGGGACTGGGGCTGGGTTGCACAGTTGGGCTGGAACCCTCTGTTCCCCCTGCACAGATGGGAAGCTGCAGTGGGAGGAGGAGGCCACCGTGAACCGGCTGCAGAGCAACGAGGTACCCATGCCCCTAGGGCACCCGAGCTGTGAGTGGGCTGGGCTGGGCTGGGGGAAAGGCCTGCAATCCCAGAGCTGGCTACCTTGTCCACCCGTGGGCGTGAACTCCAGAAGCCACGTATTCTCTCTGAGGGAGGGATTCTGGCCACTCGGAAGCAGGCTCACCTCTGGGGAGTGGAGTCAGTGCCCTTGGCAGGGCAAAGCTGTTTCTTTCTTCCCTCTGCCCCCCACCCCCACCCCAGGGCTCCCTACTTCCTCCTCTGCTCCTCTCCAGGTGACGCTGACCCTGACTGTCCCTGAGTACAGCAACAAGCGGGTGTCCCGGCCGGTCCAGGTCTACTTTTACGTCTCCAATGGGCGGAGGAAGCGAAGCCCTACCCAGAGTTTCAAGTTCCTTCCTGGTGTGTGCCCAGGGTGCAGGGATAGTGCTCTGGGGAGCTAGGCAGGGACAGAGGGACGTCGTAACCCCACTGTGGGGATCAAGGGGTGGGTGGAAACCAGGGGTGACAAGGGTGGGTGGCTGAAGGTTTGCAACAAGGACACAGTCAGGCTCTCACTGTCATGTCCTCCTGCTTCCTCATCCACCCAGTGATCTTCAAGGAGGAGCCCCTTCCAGACTCATCTCTCCGGGGTTTCCCCTCAGCACCAGGCCCCCCCTTTGGCCCTGACATGGACTTCTCATGCCCCAGGCCCCTCTACCCCTCCTACCCCCAGGAAGACCCTGCTTACGAAGCGCCATACCTGTCAGAAGGCTTCAGCTACGGCACGCCCCCTCTGTACCCTCAGCCAGGGCCCCCGCCGCCGTCCTATAGGCCTGGCCTGCGGATGTTCCCTGACACTGGGGGGGGCACGGGTTGTGCCAGGCCACCTCCGCTCTCCTTCCTCCCCCGCCCCTTTCCTGGCGACCCGTATGGAGGAAGGGGACCCCCTTTTCCCCTGGGGCTGCCATTCCCTCCTCCGGCCCCTTTCCGGCCCCCACTGCCATCAACCCCACCTCTTGAAGGTCCCTTCCCTCCTCCGCGTGGTGTTCACCCACCTCCTGCCGAGGGCTACAGTGAGGTAGGGCCAGGCTATGGCCCTGGGGAGGGGGCTCCGGAGCCCGAGAAATCCAGGGGTGGCTACGGCAGCAGCTTCCGGGACAGTGTCCCTATCCAGGGAATCACTCTGGATGAAGGTGAGCTCAGCTCGGAGGGTGCAGGGGTGGGGGGTGGGGAGGGCGGGGTGCTCTGCATCTTCCTCCAGGGACCTCTTCTGGGTGGGCTGGAGAGTGACTTCTCAGAGGGTGGGCATTCTTGGGTCCTCAGGGCCAATTGGAAGGTTCCAGGAGGGAGGTTCTTAGTGCTTGGGGTCCCCTGAATCCAATAGAGTTAATTCTGAAGGGGGCATGGGGTACCTGCCCTGACCCTTGTCCTGACCCTAAAATCTGAGGGTCACAAGTACTTTCAAGACCAGTGAATTCAGCTCCCTTCATTTGCAGCTTCATGCATGCAGGTGCAGACAGGGCCAGGGGCTTGGGGAGGTTCCAGTCAAGCTGAGTTTCCCTTGCCCCCACCCCCACCCCGCAAGATCCCCCTGGGGATTGGCATCTAGAAGCCTTGCTATGTTGTCTCCCCTTCCCTCTGCCTTTGCCCTGCTGACAATGCCGCCCAAGCTGGTGGGAAACGAACAGGTGTTGGGGGCTTGGGACGGCCCCTCGGCCCACATACACACCACCCAGTGGGCAAGACAGCAGGTGCCAAGACCTGAGGGGGAAGGGGGGAGCTGTGGCCCCATGGAAGAGAAGGCAGCTGAGGTAGAGCCTAGAGGCTTCCCACATGGGGGCTTGCCTAGAATGAATGGTTGGCGGGGTCTGGAGATTGAGGGGGACACAGCTTCCAACTGCCCCTCCTTTCCAGTGAGTGAGATCATTGGACGAGACCTGAGTGGCTTCCCTGCACCTCCTGGAGAAGAGCCTCGTGCCTGAGTCAGCGCCTGGCAATCCCCAGCCCCCCAGTCCCCCTCCCCCCTTGTCTTCATCCTGGGGTGGTGGCTCCAGAAATGGGACCAACTCCGGTCCCTCCCCCCGCCCCAGCTTTTGCTACCCTCCCCACAAAGATTCTTCCCCCTGCCTCAACTGAGGCTCGGCCTCTGGGCCCGGTGCTGCCTTGGAGGGGTGAGGGATGGTGGGATGCGTGAGGACCAGGATGGGGGGGAGGAGATTGAGACTGGGCTCCCAGGCAAGGGCTGCCTGGAGTGTCTAGATTGTGTACGGGACCTGGTGCTGGGACAGTAATAAACTATTTACTGATTCGTGCCTCAGGCTCCAGAGCTCTTTGGAGAGAGGGGTGGGGTAGGTTAGTTTAGGGGCGGCCCGTGGAGGCTAGGGGGTTGGAAAGAGATGGGGTATGGTTGGAAAGATCGCATCCCTGAAAAGGTGCACCTCTTGGTGCACTGAGACTGGGGAGGGCGTGAAGGGCTTCCGAGGCTTCCTGACTGAGGCTCATGGGCCTGATGATGTCCCTCTAGGGGGCCTGAGGGCCAGAGTGTGAGAGAGGCCTCTAATTTTCCCTCCCTGGGAATTTAGAGTCCTTTAGGACCTTCCGGATGGACTTCTGTGCTGTTTTCAGGTTTCGCTTTCCCCGCACCAGCCAGATGACTCTGAATCACAGGTCAGGACACACTGGTCTTGTCACTCTCTGTCATTTTTAGGAGGGAAAAGAAATCCGAGGCTCAGAGGGCATACAGGGCAAGAGCAGCGGCAACTCTTGGCTTCTGCCCGCAGCCCACCCTCAGACACCTTGACCCCGAGGACACATTCCCTGGGGGCTGGGGGTGGGTGAGACGTGGCGCCGGTCGATTTGCACTCTGGGTTCTCCCACCCTTGGGGACTACTGTGCAAACCAGTCCATGCTTCAGCAGCTGACTCCTGAAGAGCAAGCTGCTTTCTTCCTGAGCAGCTCAGCTGCCCCTGGCCCTGCCCCGGGGCACAGGGCTTTCTAAGAGCTCCTGGCGGGTCCTGCAGCTACACCCCAAAGGACCTTCAACAGCATTGACTGGCTGGGTCTGGACACAGAGTTTGTCCACTGTTGTGACAGCCTCTGGGGTCCAGCCCCAGAGCATTGTGGGAAGCCATGCCCTTCTCCTCGGTGGCCTGGCACACGGCAGGCACCGAGAGCCACCAGTCTGAAGTGGGTCGGGTGCAGTTGCGTGGACTGTGCCCAAAGGGTGTTCATGGGATTCGTTCTTGGGACACTTGGCTCATCTCAAGACTGGTGGGGCCTCTTGCTTCCCATTGGGGCCAGGCGGACCTGGCAAGCACTCCTGGTTCAGAGGTGGGTGTGACCAAAGCTGGTTCTGGAGTGGAGAAGACTTTTCTGCTGCCTCTCCATACATTTCCTTTATCGTCCCGAATACAAACTACTGTGGACCAAACGGAGGGCAGGAGATGACCGCCTCCCTGGGCAAAGATACTGCCCATGCTGTGATCTTCAGGTGGGCAGGGATCCTGGGGCTCCCCGTCACTTTCAGCATTCCTCTAATTCCCTTCCCAAATCCCTGACCGCTGAGCTCCAGGGAAGAGGAGTCACTGCTCCCAAGGCAAACCGTCTACCTTCTGCCCGAGGACTGCTTTTCATTCATTAGTGGCAGATACTTCTTGAGCAGTTACTAAGGGCCAGCAAATGGACCCTAGAGGACCTCTTAGAGCAGTGGTTCTCAACCTGTGGGTCGTGACCCCTTTGGGGGGTGAGCGACCCTTTCACAGGGGTCACCTGATTCAGAACAGTAGCAAAATGACCGTTATGAAGTAGTGATGAAAAGAATGTTATGGTTGGGCCTCACCGCCACACAAGGAACTGTATGGGCACTAGGAAGGTTGAGAACCACTGTCTTAGAGCCTGGTGCAAAGCTAAGTCAACAACCAACTGCAAATCACCAATTCACCTCAGTAAGTACTTAGTGTACAGGTAGGGTGTCAGGCCTTGCCTTGGGATCAGTAGCCAATTATAATACCGATTGCAGAGCGCGCCAAGCTCAGGGGCTATCCATTCCACTGGTCTCTCGAGGTGACTGCTCAACTGATCCCTGAAGCATGACTGTGACCAGGCTGTGAGGCCAGAAAGGACGAGGTGTGAGGGGGAATCAAGTCCTGGAGAAGAAAAGCCAACGAGAAAGGCTGGCTGATCTTGAGGGCTTGACACACTTGGAAAACGCAGCGTGGAGGGCCAGGGGCCCGGGCAGTGTGGGGAGGCTGCAGAGGGAGGCGGGAGGCAGAGTCCGAAGGGACTCGTAGCCATGTCAAGGAATTCAGAGTTCTCCTGGGGGTGGCGGGAGCGTTCTGACCTGATCACAGGCTTGAAGCTGGGAGCGATGCAATGGAATGACTTCAGAGTTCTTCCCACTGGTTGACCCACATCTGCTACCTTGTCACTGCTTTAGACAGAGCTTCTTCTGCCCTCTGGGCCCATACCATGCAAGTGCATCTTTTCTTCCAGTAAAGCCGGTGTGGGTCAGTCTCCAGAGACCTTTGCATAAACTGTCTGGAACATCCAAAACCATTGAGTCTTTCCGGTCCCCTGGGGACAGCCGGCTCCCTGGGGCTATAGAGGAGAGACAGAAAAGGCAGGCCGGGTCATCTCTCGGTTGGTGCCAGGAAACCTGTGGTCTGAGGATGACACGTACATGAATCACTGGAGTATTTGGCTCTGTTTAAATGTGGATTCCTAGGCAACCCCTGCCTGATCTGCCCGGTCATAACCTCTGGGGGTACCTCAGTTCATTTCTCAAGGACCCCTAGTGGCATAGCGGCTTCCGACGTGAGAGGGTGAAGAATTGGGCTGTTAAACCGAGTGGTCAGCAGTTCAAACCCACCAGCCACTCCATGGAAGAAAGATGAGGCTTTCTGCTCCCATAGAGAGTTACAGCCTTGGAAACCCACAGAGGGCAGTTAGTTCTTTTTACCTTACCCTGTCGGGCCATTATGACTGGGGCTGGAGTTTGGGTTTCAGTTGATTCTTCAGCACTGGAGAGCTTGAGAAATAGCATTACCTGCCAATAAGCGTCACTCCTTCCCACACCAAACTCTAAAATAGCTTCTTGCTCCCCTTCTCAGGAGCCACCTGAGCTGCCCTGGGGGGAGCCTCACCTGGAAAAATGTATTTGCGGAAAGGAAAGGGGCATGTTCAATCGCAACAACAGTCCATCTCGGCTCTCTCGAGCTTGTTTTGCTACTGTGTTAGGGCGCAAAAGAGACCCTGTCTCAAACATAACTAAGGAGTGTGAGAGATAGAAAGTGTATACGGATGACTCCTTTATTCTCATATAGTAAGAAGCCTGGCAGGCTGGGTTTCTGAGGTGGGGGAGGCCTTCACCTTTGTGAGTTGGAGGTGAGTCCCAATCACATTCTTATAATTACTATTGTTCCCCACTGTATCATCCTATAATAGTGCTACCTTAAGGTTACCTCTTATAGGCACATGGCTGATTGCCATCCAGCCGGCAGCTGTAACGGTAGAGGCAGAGATGTGCTGTTGCTCTCTAGGCTCTGAAGACAGCCACCTCCCCTTACCTTCCTGACCCCTCCTATATACCTCACCTAGCTGGTGCTCCGTTACGACTCCTCTGTACCCAGGGGCCTTGAGGGTAAGGGTACAGCCCACTTAGGGGGACTTGCACCCCCTCCCTCCAGCCCAGAGTATATAAGCCTCTGTTGGAAATATATTCTCTCTCTTTGTGTGGTACTGGCTCCCGAAGTCATGCCTGCAAAGGTGCGCCCTTAAATGTCATATCTTGTCTGATGTCTCTTTCATTTTATCCCTCAATTACACAACCGCACCTTAGACCCATTTGATTGTGGGGGCTGGTATCCTACGAAGGAGAATGTTTAAGTCTTTAAAGAGAACGACCACGCTAAGAAACAGACACCTCATCAGATGAGGGAGGCCCTTAGCACGAGGCTAAATGGCGTCCAAGGGTTTGCTGAGATACACAGGTTTGAAAAAGACCTGGGAGGGCAAAGGAAACTCACAAATTCATGAATGGTGGCAGATGCATACATCCCAGTTACAGGTGGGCCTACAGGAGCAGGAAAGAGACCATGACTGGGGCCTGTACATTATTCACTAGAATAATGTACAAGGCTGACCCAGGGCCTTCCGACCCAGGCAGTCAGATGTGACTGAGAGGGCATGACTCATCACTATTGCCCCCTGCACTGTCCCTAGTACAGTGACCTCTATCAAAGACATACCCAGGCAAGCCCCTGAGAGAGGATGCCCCTCCCTGGGCTGGCTCGAGTTGAGAGAAGGTCATCTCCTTTCCAAGACACTCTGCCGGAGGGCAAGATGATCTCCATCCTTGATTAATGGTCAGAATTCAACGGAATTTCATCTATGTGGGGACGCTGAACATGGATTTTGGCTGTCGCAGTCCTTTGTACTCTTCTGCAAACCCGGGTGCTAGCACTGAAGGTCCAGCACACAGCTTAGGGACTCTGAGGATGGCTCAGTGGAACAGCTGCAAAGGCCTGGGCAGGGGCCCACTGGGTAGCCTCCCAGTTGTGTGGTGGGCTTTGCCCGGCGCTATTCTGCTAATGCCTTAGAGCCCTTACTGTACCTCCTAAGTCCTTGACCAGAGCAAGACCGGAGAAGGGGCACCTTGTGTATTCCCCAGACATTTCAACCGCAGGAAGCGCACAGGCTGCTTTTGGGGGAAGCTGGTTTTAGGTGCCTGGGTGTCTGACCATTCACTCAGCCAGCTCCCTACAAAGTTCTCCAGGGCTTCTGCTCCAGGCCCAGCCCTGCGCTCAGCACAGCATAAAGATGGTGGTTGTACTGGGGCCTTGTCTTAGAGGAGCTGCAAATCCTGTCACTTGTGGGAGAGACCTTCCTGTCTGGAGTGACGTGGTTGGATCAAAACTGGCGGAGGCAGAAATGAACACTGCTATGGACATACTAGAAGAGTGGTGGTGGCGGTAGTGGGGAGGGTCAAAGAAAATGTCACTGAG